TAATGGAGAATTGCTTCATCCGTGCGGACAAGTGTTACCGGGCAACCTTGATATAAAACAGGTTGCCTGACTGTGGGTCCTTACCCGCGTGCTTCAAAGGGACTTCAAAGGGACTTAATACTCCACTGCAGACACACACAAAAGGTTAATAAAAGGTTTATTTACAAAATAAATGGAAAATGAAGAAATGAATAACTCAGGGAAGAAAAGAGGGAGATAAACTCATGATTGCATCCTACCCATTCCACTGAACTGGAATCCCAATGACCCACCAAGAGCTGGTAAAGAACCAAGAGCCTTGAGGCCAAGAGAGCCCCCAAGGCCCATGTGTCTGCTTTTATACCCAACATGGCTGCTTCACTCCACCCTCAGGTCCCAGCCACCCTCCCTTTGGTGATGATGGGATTTGTCTTTCCCAATGTCTTGATGGCTTTAGTCTGGAGTGGGGGTGGAGTCCACAAAGCCTGTATGGAATTAGCTCAGGACATCCTTTCCCCCTAACACAAGTATAGATCTCAAGGGCTTGCAGAGGCAGGACAGAAGGAGTCTCCTGCCGAGACCCTCTCACCGGCCAGCCCAGGCCCCTTTCATATGACCCTGACTGTTTAGCCCAAGTCTAGAGGTCCAGATTATTTATGAGAGGAATAAACTTCTGTCCCATTTGAGTCACTGTATTTTGGTTTCTCTTTATTACAGTAGTTTAGATTATGTTCTGAAAAACACAAGTCCCTGGGCACTGTCTTTGGCTTCCATGTTGATTTCTGGCTAAATATATTAGTTACATATTTATCTAAATATCCTAAAAGGGGCCTCCCTGGTGGCACAGGGGTTAAAGACAGCACTATCAAGCTACTGCCAGCCACTGCAACACGAGTTCGATATCCTGCTGGCCAGGGAGCTGACCCACGTGGCAAGCAGACCTCTCCTGACTCACCCACTTCTCCCCTCAGCTGTGTATTTCAGTCAATCCGCCTGTTCTGCTCCCCATTCTCTCTGGTGAATCCTCTCACCCCCTGAACCTTTGGGTTATCCCCCAGTTCTTGTATGCATAAATAAATAAATCTTAAAAAATAAATATTCTAAAAGACTAGAATGGCTTAAATGACCTGATATAAGTGATCCAGGACAGTTGTGAGATAATAGTCATTTATCATCATGGTCTGGGGTGTTCTAGCTCTACTAGTCTGTCTGCATTTTGGTCACTGGGGAGGGACTGGAGTAGCCGCCATCTCAAATGTTACCCTAATGCCAAGGGGGCATAATGCAGACAGCATTGGCTCCTACAGCCTCCCCCTAGAAGGGATACATGTCACTTACAAGCACATTTCCTTGACCACCAGTGGATGGGGGAAGTTCAATCCTGCCAATGTGACTGAAAGGAGACAAAGCCAGAATATTTATAAAGATCCCTAATAACCACCATCCTTAAGATAGTTTATTCCTCTCTTGTAACTATCTGAGTAGAGCTTGTGTGACATTAATACAATGCCAGGGGCCTGGGTTCCTCTGTGTGTTCACTCTGTTATCCCTAGGAACGTGCTCTTGAATCACCATCAAATGTCCATTTCAGCAGGGAGGACAAACTGCTCTTTTATTGATAGGAATGACTGCCAGTTCTTCTCACATCCTATTAGCCAGAACCAGGATACCTGTTAGGGAAGATGGGAAATGTAGTTCTTAGCTGGGTGACTGTATGTCCTGCTAAACATCTCTTACTTTAAAGGAGGGAGAGCAGATACCGGATGTGGGAGAGGCAGCTTTGGGACCCCCTTGTTAGCAGGCAGACTGAAGGGCACCTTAGACCCCCAAACTTGCATACTCTAAAGGGTTTCTGCCATCTGTCACATAATAAAGCACACTCTTAGTGTGTAAGATCTTTAATAGAATGATTGTGCATAGAGAGGGAAAAAGAGAAAGTGTTACAGAGCAGGGAGGGTGCACCCCAGAAACACCAAACCTGCCTGCTCTAAATAGGTTCCACCATCTGCCACATCAAGACAAAACATACTTTAGTGTGTAAGACCTTCAATGGAAAGGAACGTTAATACAATCAGTGTGCAATACAGAAAAGACAAAGAATAGAGTTTCTGGGGCTCCCCTGGTGGCGCAGGCGGTTGAGCGCTGCACTGTGAAGCTGTCTGCAGCCTCTGCAGCGCTGGTTCAATCCTGGCCAGCCGGCAAGGGTCCCGCATGGCATGGCAGACCTCTCCTGTCTCGCCCGCTGCTCCCCTCAGCAGTGTACTTCGTTAGTCTGCCTGTTCTTTTCCCCACTCTGTCTGGTGAATCCTCTCACCCTCCTGGGCATCTGGCCTGTGCCCTGGTTCTTATATAAACAAACAAACAAACAAACAAACAAACAAATAAATAAAATCTTAAAAAAAAAAAAAAGTTTCTGAATCAAGCACCCGAAGTTATCTATTCCCTTGTGGGTAAATGCCCAGCCAAACAGGGTTGGCCCAAAGCAGGGCCACTAAGGCCCAAAAGCCTGTCACAATTCTAAAGTGCTTTCTGATGGGGACCCATATTTAGGAAAGGGGCAGAAACAGCCAGACAAGTCTAGGAGGAAAAGACCAAAATCAAGATAAAATCTGCCATTGTTAACCTCCCCATGGGTTTCTCACCCACATCTGTTTCAACCAGTCTAGGACTAAGAAGCAAGTGCAGCTTCTTCACATGTCTCTCTGCTCCATGTGCCTCCTCCAGGTCTTCTTGCTTTCCCTACTTCTTCTTTTCTCCATTCTCCTCCCTTGCTTCTTTCTCCTCCCTGCTCAGCTCCACCCTTCCTTGGGTGGGGCAGGGAAACTGGAATCTCCCCTTTTCCTGGGGACCACCCTGTTACAAAAGGATAATAATTTCTTTATAAGATGCCCAGGGCCTCCCTGGTGGCACAAGGGGTTAAGATGCATCCTTAAGTCCGCAGCCACTGCAACATGAGTTCAATCCCCAGCCAGGGAGCTACCCACATGGCGCAGCAGACCTCTCCTGACTTGCCCGCTGCTCCCCTCAGTAGTGTATTTCAGTCAATCTGCCTGTTCTGCTCCCCATTCTCTCTGGTGAATCTTCTCACCCCCTACACCTCTGACCTGTACCCCAGTTCTTATATTCATAAATAAATAAATCTTTAAAAGAAAAAGAAAATATTAAAAAAAAAAATAAGATGCCCAAAGTATCCATCCCTTTGTGGGTAAATGCCCAGCCAAACAGGGTTAGCCTGAAGCAGTGCCACTGCAGCCTGAAAGGGTGTCCCACGTTTAAGGCACCTTCTGGTGGGACAGGGGAGAAAAGGGAGCCAGCAAATTTGGGATGAAAGGAGCAAAATCAAAGTGGAAATCAAGACATTGTCAGTTTCCCCAGGGGTCTCTCACCCACCTGTCTCTTCCAAGTTTCTCTTAATTTCTTGACTCCTTGCGTCTCCTCCAAGTCCCCCAAATCCCTGTTGCAGGTCCAAAGCTGAAAAGCAAGTGTGTCCTTCCTCACGTGTCTCTGTTTCTCTCCAAGTGTCTCTCCTTCCTGTCTCTTCAGTATCTCAAGCTTCCCCCTGCCACTCATCTCCATCCCCATTAGATAGGACAGGGAACATGGACCCTCCTTTTTTTATTTTAAGATTTATTTATTTATGCATACAAGAACTGGGGTACAGGCCAGAGGTGGGGGGGGGCAGTGTGTGTGAGAAGATTCACCAGAGACAGCGTGGGAACAGAACAGGCAGACTGACTGAAATACACTGCTGAGGGGAGAGCAGTTGGTGAGACAGGGGAGGTCTGCTGTGCCTTATGAGTAGCTCCCTGGCCAGAGGTCAAACTTGTGCTGCAGAGGCTGCGGATAGCTTCATAGTGCCGTGACTTAACCCCTTGCACCACCAGGGAGGCACTGGACCCTCCCTTTTTTATGGAGATTCCAGTTATACCCTAAGACAGTGCTCAGTTTTCCTGTCTCCAGGCAGTCCCAGGTGAGCTCCACTTGGAGCATGTGTGTTTCTGAGGAGTTTGTTCAATCATTTAAGTTTCACAGACTTGAAGGATCCCTTCAGAGATATTTCATCTTAATTTTTAAAAAAGATTTATTTATGTATGCATACAAGAACTAGGTACAGGCCAGAGGTGTGGGGGGTGTGTGTATGTGAGAAAGGGTTCACCAGAGGCAGAGTGGGGAACAGAACAAGTGGATTGACTTGAAATACACTGCTGAGGGGAGCAGCAGGTGAGACAGGAGAGGTCTGCTGCACCATTTGGATTGCATCAAGCTCATAGCGCTGTGTCTTTAACCCCTGTGCCACCAGGGAGGCCCCTTTCATCTTAATTTTTGATTCATTGATTGATTTGTACCCCACATTGCTTGACAAAGTATCAAAGATTCCTGTAGGACTGGGAGACTAGCCCACTAGTTTACAGTTTCTTAGCTTCTTGCTTCATACAAATGCAGGTTATAATTTAAAAACACACCACAAACTCAAGTATACTTCTGATCCTTTTAGTGATTGATCCCAAATTTATTTATTTTATAAGCTGAGGATTTTTATATATTGGACTTCCTGCAGAAAATGTTCTAAACCTTTTTACAGTCTCTGAAATTAAATGCTGATTTCATTTTTATCTCCTGATTCTCTGAGGGAGCATTGCAGGGAGGAAAAAGATTATGATTCTTCCTATTTTTCCAGAATTTATAAGAAAATTAGTCTTAGTCCCTTGAGGGCTTATATTCAGGAAGATAATACCCTCCCAGGTTCTGGGAAATAAAATCCTCTTGGAAAAACCAGAAAGAAAACTGAAACTTTACTTAAATAAAATATGTTGCAATATCTTGAATGTCTTGTGTGCTTTAGACTGTGTGTGTGTGTGTGTGTGTGTGTGTGAGAGAGAGAGAGAGAGAGAGAGAGAGAGAGAGAGAGACCGAGGGCACATTGGAGATCTAAGGCCACTATGAACAGTTAGGGATTAAGGAGACAGGGCAGGTTTCACCTCTCGGTTCGTTCCCCAACCCTGATTATTTTTTCTCAACAGAAGACACCCCTGTGCCACTCCCTGGCTTTCCTTGGCTGGCAGCAAGTACAGTGACTGCTGAGCCAGCTCTGGTTTTCGGGAAGTCAGATGACCTTCTCCCCTCCCAGCTCTGTGCCTCTCTCTGTCCTAGAGGTGGACACCATGCACCCACTGGTGGCTCTCCTTTGCCTGCTGCCCTTGTACCCAGGTAGGAGTGGGGTGGAGGGGAATGTTGGGGTCCAGGGCCAAGGCTGGAGCAGCCCAGGTCAAGCTCCCACGTGAAGTGGACGGTGTCCTTTGCTCTCTGCGTCTCATCTGTGCCTTCCTCCTTCTCTCCATTTCTGTGTCCCTGCGCCACAGGCTCAGCCGCAGTCTCTCCTTCCTGCCCCCAGAACGTCAATATCTCCGGTGGCACTTTCACCCTCAGCCACGGCTGGGCTCCTGGGAGTATCCTCACCTACTCCTGCCCCCTGGGCCATTACCCATCCCCTGCCATGCGGCTGTGCAAGAAAAACGGACAATGGGAGACCCCGCAAGCCACCCGGTTGAAACCGACAAAGCCTGCCTGCAAAAGTGAGGCTCCCGCCGGGCTTGAGGGCCCCACCTGCAACCACCCAGCTCTTCATTTAGGGGTCGCTCAGTGTGGGGCTTAGCGTGACTAGATGGTGGGGGAGGGATGGCAAAGCTGATTTCCAGAATAGTGAGAAAATGTCGATTGCCCGTAGCACGGAGAAGAGGCAGGCTGGATGGAGATTGTGGGGTTGCACGACCAGAGGGATATTTAAAACTTAACAATTGACCACATGGTACTGACCACTCAGAATGAATGCTGGATGGTCCTGGAATCCTCTGTTGTCCCAGGTGTTACCCCTTCGGTTCCCCACTGATGGGACATCTGTGCACCTCAGGGGAGGGGCTGGGCGGCCTCAAGGGGCTGATAGAAGTGACTATTTATCAGCCTCTTAAGTTGACTGCTGCGTGAAATTGCCAGTATTCAGCCAGTTGCCAAAAGCAGCAATTTTGCGTGCATTAGCCTGATTTTTTGAACAGCCGGGGATCCTGGCGCCTGCAAGCTGAGCGTCCCCACCTGCTGCCCAGCCAGGTGTACCCACGCATCCCTGTTCCCACCCCCTGTCTCCCTCCAGAAGTTCGCTGTCCAGCCCCTGTTACCTTTGAGAATGGCATGTACACCCCACGGCTGGGGTCTCACCCTGTGGGGGGCAACCTGAGTTTCCATTGTGAGGACGGCTTCTCACTGCGGGGCTCGCCGGTCCGGCAATGTCGCCCCAACGGCATGTGGGACGGGGAGACGGCCGTGTGTGACAATGGCGGTGAGTGTCCTGCCTGGTACGGTGTGGGGGTCTCCCTGGTCCCCCTGAAGTCTAGCCAGAGGAAGCTGGTGCTCAGTTTCAGGTCCAGCATGAAGATCCCCACACTGTCCCCACACACTTTTCCAAATGCCTCAAAGCAAATCAGGCCCCCACCCCCCTCCCGGGCTGCTGCAGAGATCTGCTGGGGGAGATGGAGTGCTGTGCTCCGTGCCTTGCCTCTGGAGCTTGTTTGGGGTCTGAGACTGGCTCTGACATTGACAGCCTTAGGGCAGGTTACATAGCCTCTTCATGCCTCAACTTTCACATATGTAAAGTGGGGACAGTAAGGGTGCCGATGGATCGTATCGGGTTGCCATGTGGATTAAGTTGATATTATTGGGCCTCTCCTGGTGGCGCAGTGGTTGGGCACTGGGCTGCGAAGCTGCCCGCAGCCTCTGCAGCGCTGGTTCTATCCCTGGCCGCCGGCGAGGGTCCCACAAGGTGCATAGACCACTCCTGCCACCTGCTGCTCACCTCAGCAGTGTACTTCGTCATTCTGCCTGTTCTGTTCCTCACTCTGGCTCTGGTGAATTCTCTCCCCACCCCCACATCTCTCGTGTACCCCAGTTCTTGTATAAATAAATAAATATTTTTTTTTTTAAAGATTTTTTTTTTTAGATTTATTTATTTATTTATACAAGCACTGAGTATAGTCAGAAGCGCGGGAGGGTGAGAGAATTCACCAGAGCCAGAGCGGGGAGCAGAGCAGGCAGAAGGACCGAAGTACACTGCTGAGGGGAGCAGCGGGCAGCAGGAGAGGTCTGCGTGCCATGTGGGACCCTCCTCTGGTGGCCGCGGAGCAGCTGGGGATCGAACCGGAACAGCAGAGGCTGCGGGCAGCTTCGCAACCCAGCGCTCAACCGCTGCGCCACCGGGGAGGCCCAATAAATAAATATTTTTAAAAAATCTGATATTTAAAAAAAAAGTTCATATTAGTGATTATCTAGACCAGCCCCTGGGATCTGATAAACATCAAATGTACTTCTTTTCTTTTCTTTTTTAAAAGATTTATTTATTTATGCATACAAGAACCGGGGTATAGGCCAGAGGTTTGGGGGCGGGGTGAAAGGATTCACCAGCGACAGAGTGGGGAGCAGAATGGGCAGACTGACTGAAATACACTGCTGAGGGGAGCAGCGGGAGAGACAGGAGAGGTCTGCTGTGCCATATGGGTCACTTCCCTGACCAGGAATTGATCTCATGCTGCAGCAGCTGTGGATAGCTTCATAGGTTGTGTTTTAACCCCTTGCGCCACCAGGGAGGCCCCAAATGTACTTTTGTCACAATTGTTAATGCCCCTGGGAGTGGTGAGAGGCTCCGCCTGACCGAAGGGGTCCCCAGGAGCCACCTGGTCTGTGGGTTTGGGGAGCTTCCTGCATCACGATTCTGAGCACCTACCACAGAAGACAGAATCTGAAAGATGGCAGAGTCATGCCTCACCCATGGCCCAGCCATATATCAAATAATGGGACTAACTACAATAATGTAATTAACTCTGCCAGATAGCCATTTATTCAAATACAAGTCTAATTTATTTGAAAATCAAAGCATAATCTACCTACAGTAAAATGCCTAAATCATAAGTATTCAGCCTGATGATCTTTGACACTTATATCCACCCCCATGACAGACGTGTGCAGAAGAGGACGAGACCTCCCCTGCCTTCTGTCTCTGTAGATGAGTTTCACAGGTTGTTACACCTCGTACAGATGGAATCATACGGAATGGGCTCGTTTGCACCTGGCGTCCTTTACTCTATATTCTGTGAGATTGATCCCTGTTGCCCTGTGTATGGCACTTTGTTAGCTTTTAGCGCAGTGCAGTCCCATTATTTGAATGAAGGGCATGTGGATTGTTTCCAGTTTCTGGCTGAGTACACCTCTAGAAGTGTGCTGGACGTGACCTCAGAGTGCACTTGCATTGTTTCCTTCAGCGTGTTATCTGGGGCAGAATTATGGGACACAGGCTGGCGTGTGATGAGTCTGAGCAGAGGCTGGCCGGCAGTTTCCCCGATTGACCCTCCAGCCTGTAGCAGAGCTCCAGTTGTCCCCCATCCTCTGTGATACTTAGTTACCCATTTTCAGTTTTAGCCCAGTGGTGTGAAGTGGAATGTTCTCTGTGGATATGGGGGCTCCCTGGGCCCTGGAGTGGGAATAGGCTGAGCACTTGCATTGGGATGGGGACACTTTATTTTTTTTTATTTTTATTTTTTTGAAGATTTATTTATGCATACAAGAACTGGGGTACAGGCCAGAGGTGTGGGGGGTAAGAGGATTCACCAGAGACAGAGCAGGGTGCAGAACAGGTCGACTGACTGAAATATACTGCTGAGGGGAGCAGCAGGCGAGATAGGAGAGGTCTGCTGCACCATGTGGGTAGCTCCCTGGCCAGGGATCGAACTCGTGCTGCAGTGGCTGCAGATAGCTTCATAGGTTGCGTCTTAACCCCTGCACCACCAGGGAGGCCCCATGGGGTGGGGGCACTTTAGCTCACAACTGTGGGTGCTGAGTTGTAAACATTTTGCCCTTCTGAAGGTTTTCCACCTCCATCACTGGAAAGCACAGCTGAGGAGTCTCCTAATGGCAAGGCCAAGGGACCCACAGAGCTCTGTGGGGCTGGAAAGGGGAAGTGTAGAGGAAGAGGGTGGGTGAGCAGGGCCCAGAAGCCCAGGACCAGGTCCCTGCTCACCTCCTTCCTTTGTTTGCTCCCAGCCGGCCATTGCCCCAACCCAGGCATTTCAGTGGGCGCGGTGCGCACAGGGTCCCGCTTTGGCCTCGGGGACAAGGTCAGCTACCGCTGCTCCTCGAACTTGGTGCTGACCGGGTCTGCGGAGCGGGAGTGCCAGAGTAACGGGGTCTGGAGTGGAACGGAGCCCATCTGCCGCCGTGAGTAGCCACCCTGAACCTCCCAAGACATTGGGCACCCCACCCCTGGCCCCGGCTGATCCCCGACTCTCCACAGAGCCCTACTCTTATGACTTTCCTGAGGATGTGGCCCCTGCCCTGGGTACCTCCTTCTCTCACCTGCTTGGAGTTACCAATCCCACCCAGAAGAAGGACGGTGAGTGCTTGAGGCAGAGGCAGCAGGTACTGGGCCTGGGCTGGAGCAGTGGATGGGCACCTGGGAGCCTAGATGGGCTCCTGTAGGGCTGCACTGACAGAAAGGGAGGGTGGGAGGCCTGACCAGCCCCCTTGGCAAGAGAGCGGGTAGGAGTTGGTGATCTGAATCCAACCCTTCCGCATTTCTCCCAGAAAATCTGGGTCGCAAAATCCAAATCCAGCGCTCCGGTCACCTGAACCTCTATCTGCTCCTGGATGCCTCTCAGAGCGTGGCGAAAGACTTTCACATCTTCAAGGACAGCGCCTACCTCATGGTGGACAGGGTCAGGACATAGGAGCTTGCATGCAGAAGAAGCCCTCCTGTGGCTTCTGTCTTTCTCTCTTGCCTTCCTTTCCTTAGAATCCCACAGACAGCCCACCTCCTCCAGGAAGTCTTTCCAGATTATATGCATGCCAGCCAGGAATCACAGATTCAATTTATAAGGTCTTAATTTTCATTCCCAAAACACCACAATGGCACCTACTGTGTGTCAGGGACTATGTTGGGTGACCAAGATGAACAAGGCCTAGATCCTGCTAAGAATTCATCTAGAACAGTGATCTTCACAGAGGGGTACACAGAATCACCCACTGAGTGGGTCTTGGTCCTGCTCTCTTCCTCCTCCAGGGCCCTTTTCTTGCTCTGTTACCATCTCCCCTTTGGTTTCGGGGCCCTCACACTGCTTTTCACGTGCCCTGCACAGCTCTTCAGCTTTGAGATCAATGTTAGTGTCGCCATTATCACCTTTGCATCAAGACCCAAAGTCATCATATCTGTCCTGCAAGGCAAATCCCAGGATGAGACCGAAGTGCTCTATAGTCTGGAGAACGTCGACTATAAAGGTATGGTTGTCATCAGACAAAGGGAGGTGGGGCGAGTGCTTCCTGCCTGCTGATGGATTCTGGATAAGTTAGAGAGAAAGTGAGGTCCCTGGGTGGCAGTCAAGTCCCAGGTGGAGGTGGCTCCAAGTCAGGCAAGGGTTGGGGGGTGGTGTCACAGTTGCCACCTACTTGTGGCTTTTTCTAATGTCCCACTCATCTGCACATTCCACAGACCAAGCTTCCTGGGGCCCCAACCACATGGGCTCAAAATGAGTCTCCTCATGTCGTTATAAAACTTCCTGGGGTGGTAGGATAGCCCAAACACCCCAAGTTCTTCAAAAACCCCATTTTTGAATCTTGGGATTTGAGTGGCCTTGAGGGGGGCTATGCAATGAGCATTTCTATGAGGAAAGTCTTCTAATGTTGGAATGGGCAGTGATACCAAATCTTTGCCTGGATAGTGAAGATCTGAGTTTGTCAAACCAGTTGATAGATGCACTTCCAATGGTGGCGGGAAATAGCGACTTCTTTCTCCCAAGTGGTTAAGTATGGAGTTCCTAAGAGACCCTTTCTCCTTTGCATATTCCAGACCATGAAAATGGAACCGGGACCAACATTTACGAGGCCCTGAACGCTGTCTTTCTCATGATGAATAACCAAATGGACCGCCTTGGCATGACCACAGCGGCCTGGCGGGAAATCCGACATGCCATCATCCTCCTGACCGATGGTGGGTATCATGGTCTCTGCAGTGAGTCTGGCAGAGTGGAAGGAACAGGGACACAGAGGAACCTGCCTCCTCTTTCTCCTTTTGCCACTTTGGGTCTCAGATCCTTCCCTCCCTCCCTCCCTCCTTCCCTCCCTCCCTCCCTTCCTTCCTTCCTTCCGATTTATCTTATTTATTAATGCAAACAAGAGCTGGGGTGTAGGCCGGAGGTGTGGGAGGAGGATGGGTGAGAGGATTCACCAGAGACAGTGGGGAGCAGAACAGGTGGATCCACTGAAATACACTGCTGAGGGGAGCAGCGGGCGAGACAGGAGAGGTCTGCTGCGCCATGTGGGAAGCTCCCTGGCCTGGGATCAAACTCATGCTGCAGTGGCTGCGGATAGCTTCATAGTGCTGAGACTTAGCCCCTTAAGCCACCAAGGAGGCCCACAGACTCCTTTTCTAGAGTGGAAACAGTACTGATGACAATGACAGAAGTGCCAATAACAAGAATGATGATAATGGCAGTTTCCCTTCACTCCCCACAGATTTTCATGGACGTGCTTTGTGATTATATGTGTATATATTTGGGGGCAAGGATTGGGTCCTCTGAAAAAGAATTCAGCATTCCCATTCATCCAGCACACAAGTTTATTAAGGAAAGGGGAACAAGGAAAGAGAGACTCCTGCATGGACACAAGTGGGCAGGAGCTGCTGCTTTGTGATGATAAATGGTGGTGGTTGTCATCACCTGAGCCGTGCCCTAGGGTGAGCTGGATGGGGAGGCACGGATCCCAAGCAATGATGTTGCAAGAAGGTGGCCTGTGGAGTGGATCTGGGCTCTGTCAGTTATCACTTGATTTCCGCCCCCAAATTCATAATCCCTCCAGAACTAAGTTTTCTTGTCTATCAAATGAGGGCAGGGCCTCCCTGGTGGTGCAGGTGGTTGAGCGCAGCGCTGCGAAGCTGTCTGCAGCCTCTGCAGCACGGGTTTGATCCTGCCCAGCCGGGGGGCTACCCACATGGCACAGCAGACCTCTCCTGTCTCACTTGCTGCTCCCCTCAGCAGTGTGTTTCATCAGTCTGCCTGCTCTGTTCCCAGCTCTGTCTCTAGTGAATCCTCTCACCCTCCCGCGCCTCTGGCCTGTACCCCAGTTCTTGTAGGCATGAATAAATAAATCTTTAAAAAAATTTAAAAAAATGAAGGCACCCATACTTCCTGGGGCTTTATGAGAGTTAAATAAGATAAAGAATCTGAGACTCGTGGCCCAGTGCTTGGATTGTAGAGAATTTCAGTAAAAAACATATCTTTAAAGTTGAGTAGGAAGCAGGGGTGGGGGGCCAGGGTGTGTCTTCCCCTGCTGCAGGCTGTGGGAGCCTGACACATCCACCCAGATGAATAATTCTCTCCTGTCCTAGGAAAGTCCAACATGGGTGGCTCTCCCAAGCTGGCTGTCGACAACATCAAAGAGATCTTGAACATCCACCAGAACAGGGAAGACTATCTAGGTGAGCCTCTGCCCCATGCTCCTGCATGCCATCCCTGCAGGGGGGCACAAGATCCTCAGCCATGGGCTCCAGCATCTTTCTTCCTATCCAGATGCCCCCCCCCCCCGCTCCGCCCCCGCTGCGTCATTCTGTGTGAAGGCAGCAGTGTCAAACTGTTGCCCATGAGTGAGACCTTGGCCTCATCTTCCACGGGCTGTGGGCTTGGGCAGTTCCATTTGTCAGAGAGGAATGGCACTAGGACTCCCCTCCCGGCTGAATGGGCCAGTGCTCAGATATTGCCTGGTGCAGAGAAAGTCAAAGTCAGCCTCCTCCTCATTGTCCTCATCCGCAGTCTCCAACCCCTCAGGTTCATGAACCTCTTCAGGAAGAAGAGGCCCAGCTTGCTCCTGGGGACCGTCCCTGGCACTTCCTCTTTCAGCAGCACAGGTGTCTAACTGGAGCTGGGCCAGCTGCAGAAAGGCACAAGTCCTCAGGTGCAGACTAAACAAGGGTTGCACTCAACTTTTTATTTTTATAAGGGAAAGTCTTTTTATTTACTTTTTATTCTGTTAACAACACTAGATATAATTCAGGGGAATAGGTTCACACCTCCTCAGCTGTAAGTCACCACACCACACCCACACACAGCACCCATTATCCGTCACCCTAGGCCACTGGGTCCCTGCCCCCTGTGCTGATCTTTGACTAGAAGAGAATTTCAATAGAAGTCCAAGGGAAGCCAGGTGTTTGTGAGTTTCCAAGTTTCACTTTCCCCTGTTGTCCTCTTTACAACTCTGACCTAAGGAAAACAAAAGCCAAACTCCTTAATTCCTTACCAGCACCGGGCCAGGATTAAATGCTGAAAAACACTTCAGGAAAAAGAAACAGAAACTGAAGGGAAATGGTGCAAAGAGAGCTCATGAGGCATGACTGCCCACTGGATGGCTTCCTGTGGGAAGACTTTCCTCAAGTCTAGCTGAGTGTCTTCTCGCTTCACACAACACAGGGCCCTCGGGGAGCAAAAACGGGCCCTGAGGCGGCCAAGGAGTGGGAGAAGACTGGACTCTCTTGGCCACCCTGGACGATTCTGACTGTTACCCACGCTTGCCTGGGAGTTGTGTGGGCCCAGTTTCTCCAGTGGGGAGAGATGGTTCCGGCCTCCCCTCCCAGAACCTACATTTTATGGAAGAAGACCCAATCTGGTTTTGCCTCCATTCTACACTCATGAATTCTTTTTATCCATTTAGCCATTTCATAGTTCTTACTGAGAACCTCTCCTGGGCCAGACATAGAGCCAAGGATTCGACTGTGAAATAAAAAACCGAAATGCCTGCTGGCATGGGGGTGTCATCCGGAAGGGGCAGTGCGCTGGTTGGCTAAGGATAACACAATAACTTACATAAACATGGATGGCTTAGGACAACAGAGACACATTTTTCTTCTGCACATGTTTCTGGTTATGGCAGGGCCAGACACCCGCTGGAGGCTCTAGGGAAGAGACTTCCCTGCTGCTTCTAGCCTTCGGTGGCCCCCTACACTCTGGTTTGTAGCAGGATAACCCAAGCACCTCTGTTCTCACATCACCGGCTTTCTCTCTGCTTTTCATGGTATTCTCTCTGTGTTTGTGCACAAATTTCCCCTTCTCATAAGGGTGTCAGTCATTGGCTAAACCAGGTGCATAAGAAATGTGCATAGAGCGGTGGGCAGCGATGCGTGCTCAGGCACAGGTGAAGCAGGGACTGATGACCATGGCTGGGCATGCGGTTTGTTTGTTTCAAAGATTTATTTATGCATACAAGAACTGGGGTGCAGACCAGAGGTGCGGGGGGTGAGAGGATTCACCAGAGACAAAAGTGGGAAGCAGAACTGGCGTATTTACTGAAATGCACCACTGAGGGGAGCAGCTGGTGAGACAGGAGATGTCTACCATGCCATGTAGTCTAGCTCCCTGGCAGGGGATCAAACTCATGTCGCAATGGCTGGCAATAGCTTGATAGTGCTGAGACTTTAACCCCTGCGTCACCAGGGAGTCCCAGGGCATGCTGTTTTAATAGGGAGGCCAGGGAAGGCCTTGTCGAGACAGTGACATTTGAGTTGACTTAAAAATGTAAGAAAGTGAATCAGGTGAACAGTCTGGGGGAGGAGGAAATCAGGCAGAGAGGTTCACCTTGTGCAATGGGCCTGAGGTGGGACAGTGTCTGCAAATTTGACTTCAAATTGCTGTGTGACTAGAAGAGAGTGAATAGTGTAATGGTAGGAAATGAGGTAGCAGGGGTAGGGGTTCACTTTGTAGGATGGGATGGATTCCAAATTATAGCTTGTCCTGCGGCAGGCCCTCAGTCACGCGTCTGGTGGTTTCTTTTTCCTCATAGACATCTATGCCATTGGGGTGGGCAAGATAGATGTGGACTGGAAAGAACTGAATGATCTGGGGTCCAAGAAGGATGGCGAGAGGCATGCCTTCATCCTGCAGGATGCAGACGCTCTGCACCAGGTGTTCGAGCACATGCTGGGTGAGTCCGCTGTGTCCTCCCTGGAGTGGGCTGGGTGGTGAGGACCCAGCAGGGCCCAGGCTGGCCTGCGCACCCTACCCCTCACCCACGTCCTTCCCCATCTGCTCCTCACACCCACAGATGTCTCCAAGCTCACAGACACCATCTGTGGGGTGGGGAACATGTCAGCCAATGCCTCTGATCAGGAGAGGGCACCCTGGCATGTCACTATTAAGGTACCAGGAGGAGGGATGGGGCTTGGATCCCAGGGGTGAGAGCTGCCATGGGCGGTCCCTGAAGATCACCTGTTCCCCTGCAGCCCAAGAGCAAGGCAACCTGCCGGGGCTCCCTCATCTCGGACCAGTGGGTTCTGACAGCGGCCCACTGCTTCAACTCTGCTGATAACCAGTCCCTGTGGAGGGTCAACGTGGGTAAGGCAGGGCCCACGCCAGGTTTCTGGCCCCACGGCCGGAGTTTTCACCCCTTGCCCCTGGCTTCTGGTCCCCTCAGGAGCCCTGGTCCAGTCTAATTCACCATATTGTTCCCAGGGGACCCTAACTCCCAGAGGGGCAAAGAATTCCAAATTGAGAAGGCAGTGATCTCCCAGGAGTTCAATGCTCGTGCCAAAAAAAATCAGGGAATACTGGAGTTTTATGGTGATGACATTGCCCTGCTGAAGCTGACTCAGAAAGTAAAGATGTCTACCCATGCCAGGTGCGGGGCCTGCGATAGGAGGGCGCCCTCCTGGGGAGAGTGCTCTGGGAGGTCCCAGAGAAGGGGATACCCAGGTCAGGCCTGTGTGACCCTTGCCTTCTTCCCAGGCCCATCTGCCTCCCCTGCACTGTGGAGGCCAATCTGGCTCTGCGGAGACCCCCAGGAAGCTCCTGCCGAAACCATGGTGAGGGCCATGAGGAACTGGGGCAAGAGCTGGGGTGGGAGTCTGGGGGAACAGCACCAACACCCCCTCTCCTTGACTGCAGAGAGTGAACTTCTGAACCAACTGAGCATTCCTGCTCATTTTGTGGCCTTGGATGGGAGCAGACTGAATATTAACCTCAAGACAGGGACAGAGGTGAGGCTCGGCTTGAGGTGCTGGGGAGTGGGTGGTGGGCTTCCCCTGTGGGAATGACTCTTGCTCTTGCTCCAGCTGCTTTCTTCATCTGACCCCGAGACACCTGTCCTCCCCGGCCTAGCTGGCCTGCTGGGTGTCGCTGGGTCAGCTCATTGCATCCCTCTCTTCTGCTCCACCCCCATTGCAGAGGGCGAACTGTATCAAGGCCGTCTCCCAAGACCAAACCTCATTCCCTGGCTTGACAGATGTCACAGAGGTGGTGACAGACCAGTTCCTATGCAGTGGGACTCAGAACGATGACAATCCCTGCCAGGGTGAGACCCCCAGCCCCTAAAAATCCCGTGAAAGCCACGGGTGTGCCTATGCCCAGAGGCCAGGACATGGGGCGGAAGGGCACTGCCATGATGGCAGGGAGGAGGCCAGTGGGGGTAACACTGTCTCCTATCTCTCTCCTTCCTGGCAGGAGAATCTGGGGGAGCAGTTTTCCTTGAGCGGAGATTCCGGTTTTTTCAGGTGAGAAGGGTAAAGCTCAAAGGACTGGAGTTACAGGATCTTAGGGGAAGAAGCGAGGCCTTTGAAGGAGCCAGAGAGGTTGGGGCTGGGAGCTGGGCTGCGGCTGCCTCCTATCCCATCTGCTCCTTCGTGCAGGTGGGCCTGATAAGCTGGGGTCTCTACAACCCCTGCGAATCCTCTCCCAACTCCCGCAAGAGGGCACCTGCGAACAGAATCCCGCCCCCGCGAGATTTCCACATCAACCTCTTCCGCTTGCAGCCCTGGCTGAGGAAGAACCTGGAAGGTGTCCTCAACTTTTTGCCTCTCTGAGGGTGGCCACTGGCCCTTTGCGGTCCTGCTGGTATCTGCCAGCCGCCTCCTCTGCCTGAGAATTTCTCCCCTCAGGCCTCTCAACCCATGCTGGCTCCTAGCTCTGAGTGAATCCCGCCTCCGCCTCTGGGGAGCAGCACCTCCAACCTGGGGAATCCCCAGAGGTCCTGTCAGCACCCCTGGCCTTCCTCCACTCTCACTCTGACGGGGAATTTCCCAGTTATGAAATTAATAAAATCAATGACTTCCACATCTGTCTGCGCCTCTGCCTGGGGACTGGCCATGAGGGAGGTGAAGGCCGGAATGATTCCAGGAACTGCAGCAAGGCAGGTCAGGGACCTGCTGGACAAACAGAGGCTGGACTCCGCTCTGTGCAAGAGTCAACAGGGGAGCAAGTTGGGACTGTATTTCTGGTCTCTAAGGGGGCAGTCAGGGCTCGCTGGCGGTGGGGGAGGGGAGGCCGAGCGGAGGTGCTGGAGGGGAGTCCTGGACTTTGGGCAGCAAAGGGTGGAGACTTAGGCAGTTTGTTTCCTTGTCTGAACACTCCCGCGAGTGGGACCCTCCCGCTAGGGCATTCCGGAAAGTGATGTGGATGGGCAGGCGGGGCGAGCTGCAGGTGCCAGAACATGATTGCATAAAAGGCTGGAGGTTGTGGGGGGCAGGGGGAGGGAGTGCCACCAGGCCCAGGTCAGGAGTTTCAGCTTGGACACTGAGCCAAACAGACACACAGCACAAGCCACAACAGGCCCTCCTGCTCCAGCCCCACTTCTCTCCTTCACCACCATGGGGAGCAAGTTCACCCCCTGCCTCTGCCTGGTGCCCTTAGTTCTGAGCCTCTTGTCTGGAGGTAAGTGATGGTCACTTCCCCCTCCTGCTGCCCCAGCATCCCTTCTTGACCTTGTGAGGCTGGGCTTCAGTGACCTTTCTCTTTAGGTGTGAGTACGCCGGTGCCTGTGGCCAGGCCCCAACTCCCCTGCTCTCTGGAGGGAGTAGAGATCAAAGGCGGCACCTTCCAGCTTCTCAAGGGGGGCCAGGCACTGGAGTACATGTGTCCCTCCGGCTTCTACCCCTACCCTGTGCAGGCTCGCACCTGCCGAGGCACAGGGTCCTGGAGCACCCTGGAGACCCAAGACCAAAGGATTGTCAAGAAGGCAGAATGCAGAGGTTGGAGGGGAGTGAGGGTGGGCTCAGAGGGCAGAAAGGTGGCAGCCAGGTCCAGACTAGGATGAGATTAGAGTGGTGTGGAGACCGGGCAGGTGAGAAATTGGACTGAGCAAGAGTGGGGGCCATTCTAGGGCTGGAGAGGGGAGCTCACATTTACTAAGCATTTATCTTGTGCCAGGCAGCCCTGGCAGTACAAAGAATAAATAGAAATGGGGAGGGTGAAGCAGCGGGACTCCCTGTGGGTTGAGGGATTCTTCGGGGATTGCCCAAGACCAAGCAGGATCTCCCAAAAGGCAGCCCCTCCCTCTCAATAATTTCCACTTGCCTCCCTCCCCCAAAGCAATTCGCTGCCCAAGACCTCAAGACTTTGAGAACGGGGAGTACTGGCCCCGAGCCCCCTTCTACAATTTGAGTGACGAGATCACTTTCAGCTGCTATGACGGTTACACTCTCCGGGGCTCTGCCAATCGCACCTGCCAGGCCAACGGCCGGTGGGACGGGCAGACGGCCATCTGCGACAATGGAGGTGAGAAGCATCTCCCGCAAGATGGTGCCATGCTCCAGCCTGAGCAGCTGGCACTGTAACTCTTGCTCTGTCTTGTCCTCTGGGCCTCAGGCCCCGCACTCACCTCTGTGTGTCATGCGTTGCAGCGACCTACTGTCCCAACCCTGGCATCCCCATCGGCACAAGGAAGGTGGGCACTCAGTACCGCCTTGGAGACAGTGTGACTTACTACTGCAGCCGGGGCCTCACGCTGCGAGGCTCCCAGCGGCGAACCTGTCAGGAAGGTGGCTCCTGGAGTGGAACAGAGCCTTCCTGCCAAGGTGACCCTTGACCTGGCCTCTCAGTCAGAACCTGCCCTCCGAACCTGTTGTCCCCACACCAGGGCACTGTCTTCACCCCTAGAGCCATCCAGCTCTTTCACTGTAAACACTCCTGTAGAACTTCCTCGCTTCTGAGCCCCTCCCAGCCCGGAACCCTCCATCCCTAGCTCTCGTCAGTGTCCCAGACCCTGCCAGACATCTGGCCACCTTTCTGACCTCTCCCAGACTCCTTTATGTACGACTCCCCCGAAGAGGTGGCCGAAGCCTTCCTGTCTTCCCTGACGGAGACCATAGAAGGAGTCGATGCTGAGGACGGGCATAGTCCAGGTTTGGAGGCAGAAGGGGGTGGCAGAGCAAGAAGTGGGGGGCAGAAGAAGGGCCAGGAGAGCCTCACATGCTGGAGCTGGAGTCTCTCTCGTGGCACCCAGGGGAACTACAGAAGAGGAAGATTATCCTGGACCCCTCGGGTTCCATGAACATCTACCTGGTGCTGGATGGATCAGACAGTGTTGGGGCTCAGAACTTCACACGGGCCAAGAATTGTCTCAGAGACTTCATTGAGAAGGTGGAGTTTCCTCCCCTGAATGTGGGACCCCACTGTCCTGACAGGACTAAGTCTCTGGTGCTCCCAGCCCCTCTGTGCCCCCAAATTCACAGGTCCTATTCTGTGCTCTTTCCCTTTAGCTGGAGTAATTTAGTTGAGTTTTTAACTCAGAGTCCCCCTCAACCCTCAGAATGACCAGGCAGCCCTTGAGCCTTGTCCTATGACCCTTCCTGTCCTCCTTGGATCCTTCCAGCCATAGTATTTTACCTTCAATGCCATGACCATTTGTTCCCCTCACCCACAGGTGGCAAGTTATGGGGTGAAGCCAAAATATGCTCTTGTGACTTATGCTACAACCGCCAAAATTTTGGTCAGAGTGTCACAACCAGAGAGCAGCGATGCAGACTGGGTTACAGAAAAGCTCAACCAAATCAGCTATGAAGGTCAGAGGTCAGGGAAGGGAATGGCGGGAAGTTCACTTTAGGATCAGAACATTTAAGGGTGGTGTGAGACGGGGTGGTGAGATCACATGGGGGGGCAGGGAGGGCTACTTTGTACTCCATGGTTGGACAGCAGGGTCGCTGGGGAAGGCGGTTGGTGGAAATGTGTAGGGGGCCAAGAGGGTCACTTTGTGGTGAAAAGGAAGTCAGTGGGGGTGACAGTCAACTCAAAGAGCTGAAAGATGTGGGTGCTAAGTTGCCGGTAGGCCTCTGGGGTTCAAGGATGGCCTGGAAGACTAGGAGGTGATGATTTTCTTTCTCTCCACAGACCATAAGTTGAAGGCAGGGACTAACACCAAGAGGGCCCTCCAAGCGGTATACAGCATGATGAGCTGGCCCGGGAACACGCCTCCTGAAGGCTGGAACCGCACCCGCCATGTCATCATCCTCATGACAGATGGTCAGGGGGCAACTTCTCCTGCCCGATACTGCCCACTCTTTCTGAGCCATGTGTGACCCTTAATTCCATGTGTCACATTAGATTCACAGTTGGGGCCCTGGATGCTGCTCAGGGGTAAAGCCATGGTGACCTTTCCTGTGACCCTTATGAGGGACCCTTCTCCTTAAAACTGTGACCTGTCACTTCCATCTCTCCCCAACCATTGCTCACCCAGCAACGTCCTCTCTTCCAGTCAGCTTATCTCCTCGACCCCTTTCTTCCTTGGTCTCTCCCACCTTCACGGTCCTTGTCTCTTCTGCAGGCTTGCACAACATGGGTGGGGACCCGGTCACTGTTATTCATGACATCCGGGACCTGCTGGACATTGGTAGGGATCGCAAAAACCCGAGGGAGGATTATCTGGGTGAGTGACCTGCCCAGGTCCCAGCACCTCGCTTTCTCACCCATCAGACCTGGGCCTTCACCTTCCCTTTTCCCCCCTCAGATGTTTATGTGTTTGGGGTTGGGCCTCTGGTGAACCAAGAGAACATCAACGCTTTGGCTTCCAAGAAGGATAAAGAGCAACACGTGTTCAAAGTCAAGGACATGGAAAACCTGGAGGATGTTTTCATCCAAATGCTTGGTAGGAAGATGGCAGAGGGCACAAGACCACCATGACTCAGCTCTTCTAGGTTCCCCATGGTCACCCATTTTTCTCTCCCTGTGAAGCCCTAGTGATCTCAGTCTCCTCAGGGTCACTCTGCATTCCCTGGCAGTGTCCATTTTGTGATCTTTGAATAACAGAGCTCTGAAGGACGACAGAGACTTTAAGTTACAGATTGGTAAATCAAGGCCAAGGGACAACAACCTAATGAGTTGGCACTGAGAACAGCCAGGTCTGCAATATTTTAATCCAAAGTTCTTTTCACTAAACCACAGTGGTTCCTTGTCCTCAACATGAGGACACAATGCCCCTTCTCCTTAGGGGCCCCTGCTCCCCACACACGTAGGTGTCCCTCCCACAGCTGCTGCCATTCAGGACTGAAGCACCCCCAGCTTTCCATTTACATTCTTGCCAGATGAAACTCGGACCCTGGGTCTTTGTGGCATGGTGTGGGAGCACAAGAAAGGCACTGCTTTCCACAAGCAACCATGGCAAGCCAAGATCTCAGTGACTGTAAGCACAGCGCCCTGGGGGTGGGAACATGTGGGCGGTGAGGCCAGGATGAAGTGGGAGTGGAGGCCAAAAGGCTCCCATTAGACTGTGGTGCTTGCAAAAGTAGTTCTTTCCTGTTGCCAGCGCCCGTCCAAGGGACACGAGAACTGCATGGGGGCTGTGGTGTCAGAGTACTTTGTGCTGACAGCAGCACACTGTTTCACGGTGGAGGACCAGAAACACTCCATCAAGGTCAACGTGGGTAAGGACACCAAGAATCAGTCCTGAGTGAGTCCCAGTCACATCCCCGGGCAACACCTCCCACTCCAAGACCCCACACTTTCCTTGTCCTTGCAGGCTTCCCCCCTCCGGTTGGGGATGGGAAGACAAGTTAGGGATGACATGGAGCAAGAGGCAAAAGGCTGCCCAGAGAAGCAGGTGGTACAGTGATGCCCATTCTCCTACTTCAGGAGGGAAGCGGCAGGACTTGGAGATAGAAGAAGTACTCTTCCACCCCAAGTACAACATCAATGGGAAAGCAGCTAAAGGAATTCCTGAATTTTATGACTATGACGTGGCCCTGGTCAAGCTCAAGAAGAAGCTGAAGTATGACCAGACTGTCAGGTGAGGCACCTGGATGGGAGGGAAAAGGCTGGAAGAGGCGGGGCTGGTGGGCGGGGAGCTCCAGAGCCTGCCACCTGACTTTCCCCAACTCTCAACAGGCCCATTTGTCTCCCCTGCACCGAAGGAACAAATCAAGCTTTGAGGCTTCCTCGGTCAACCACTTGTCAGCAACAGAGTAAGACATTCGGGCGAGTAGCACGAGGGTGAGATTTCAAAAGACAAGTGGGGAGGATTTGCTGCAGGAGCAGATGTTGCCCAGGGGTGGCGGGCCCTACTGAGTGACAAAGGCAAAGGAAAGGTGGGCGAGGAGAGCGCTGCAATGACCCTGTCTGTCCATTTGTCCAGTGCAAGAGCTGCTCCCTGCAGCGGATATAAAAGCTCTGTTCGTGTCTGAGGTAAAGAAGACACTGGTTCGGAAGGAGGTCTATATCAAGAACGGGGATAAGGTGAGGCGCGTGGGGTCCTAGGAGGTCCTCGAGGGCCCGACCCTACTAGGGAGCTTTGCTCAGCAGCCTTTTCTCCTCCGTGCTTCCTATCTCACCTACAGAAAGTGAGCTGTGAGAGAGATGCTCGAAACGCCCCAGGCTATGGCCAAGTCAAGGACATCTCCGAGGTGGTGACCCCCAGGTTCCTTTGCACCGGTGGGGTGCATCCCTACGCTGATCCCAACACTTGCAAAGGTGAGAGAAGGTTCTTTGGTTGTGCTGCAAGTCCTGAGGCCCAAGCGGCTTTTCCCACAACTTCTCCCCACTGCAGGTGATTCTGGTGGCCCCCTGATTATTCACAAGAAGAGTCGCTTCATTCAAGTGAGTTCCCCTTCCCGTCTGTGGGGAGATGCCAAGTGGTCAGCATGGGCTCCAGAGCGGGGAAGTTCAGTGCAGGAAAAGCCTGCCTCCCCTTAAGACTATGCCTTGAACTGGCTAGCTTCGGGCCACGTGTCCCGCCCGTGCTAGAGGAGAGGGCAGAGCTGGATCTGCTAATTCCTCTAGATTGGCTCAGATGCCCTGGGAGTGGTTGTGCTCTCAGGGAGTAGGAAGGCAGGCTACCACACCCCCCACAGCACCCCTCCTGTCTCCAGGTTGGCGTGATCAGCTGGGGAGTGGTGGACATCTGCAAGGACCAGAGTCGGAAGCAGCAGGTACCTGCCCATGCCCGAGACTTTCACATCAACCTCTTCCAAGTGCTGCCCTGGCTCAAGGAGAAGCTCAGAGACGAGGATCTGGGTTTTCTATGAAGGGTTTCCTGCTGGAAAGGGGCATGAGAGCAAATTAAAACAGCTGCGACAACACCTGTGTTCAAGATCCTTTTGGGAAAAGGGAGTAGGGGACGTGCACTGGCCATGTCGTTACAACTGAAAGCAAATCTAACAGCCGTTTTTAAAGGCTTAACCCCAAACCCAATTGCTGAAAAACCAGAGGCTGAGGGAGATGGGTGAGCTTCTTCCTCAGTGTTTTACTGAGACCAAGGTCGGGGCAGATGAGGCACACAGAATCCAGCTCCATTCCCTAGAAGCCATCCACAAGGTTTTCCTTGTAGATGTCATCACTGTAGACAATCTGGGTTCTCTTGTCCCGGTGGCAACCCTTAGGGCTGTTCTGGACAGCTAGGGAGGGAGGGAAGGATTAGTTAAGACCTGAAGAAGAGCATTGGTCAGACCTGTGCTCACTCCTGGCCTCTGGCCTGGGGCTGCCTAGTTTCCCTGCTGCCCTCTGGTGGCTGAGATGGCCTCCATCCCTCAGCCCCTCAGCCCAGTGGCTGCCAACCCATTCATTGCCCTGCCAGGTTGCCTGCAATTATGGGGGCACAAGCAGATGTTGTAACGTAATGTTCTTAGCAAACCTGCAAATGTTATTCATGAGACACGTGAACAATGTTAATTCCAGAACATCAAGAATTAAAAACGAGAACTACTCTACAGCCCTTTGTTAATAGGCTGGTTGTTTCTTATTACTTTCTTTTATCTTAAGTCGTCACTCTTGCTCTGAACCCATCTTTTGGCCTACACCATTGCCAGCAAAATCTATTTCAGGTAAAACGGGTGATCACACTGACAAATGCCACTTATCCCATTAGAAGTCCTTGGGGTGTGGCTTTGGCCCTAAGCACTCTCCCTTGAGCTGCTCCTTCCTCTTTCCTCCCTAGATGTGATGTGTCCCTTTCTTCGCCCCATCACTAAGGACCCATCTCCACCATGCTGGGCAAGAGGAAACCCTCATGCCCCAGCCTCATTTTCTTGATTCCTTGTAACTCAACACTGCTAATCACTCCTTCCTCAGTCTTCTGGCTTCAGTGGTCCAATCCCTCCTGCCTCCTCAACTTCACCCTGACATGTCAGGAGGGCACAAGAAACACAGCCCTGCTTCCTAACACATCCCCTGAAGATTCCCCCAGCCCAGTCCTGAATCATCAGATTCAGTCTTCCCTGAAAGTACTATCATTTTGCAGACATCCTGTGAGCAAATCTACATCGTTCCTCACCTCATACCTCAGTTCCAGATCCCTAACCTCAAATACTTGCTGTATAAGTCAACTACACTCCATCTCAAATGAACAAGGTTATACAAGATGATCACCTTCCCCGCCCACCCAGCCCTGGCTTCTTCTTTCTTCCATATTCCAGCCTCTATACAAACCCAGACCTCTATCACCTCTATCTAGGGAACCCAGGGAAACACAGGGGAACAAAAAGAAGAGGAGCTATGGGGACAGGGTGGCTCCCATTCTTACCGAGGGAGCCCCAGACAGACTTGCCAGTGGCAGCATCCAGCATAGGCTGTTTTCGGGCAATGCTGACTTTGAGCTGTACGGAATCCACCTGGGTCCCATTGAGCTGGAGCAGAAGAAGAGGGGGAGGGCAGAGGATGGGGAGCAACGTTACAGATAAACCAAAGGATTTATAGGAGGTGCCATCTTAGGAGCAGACTGAGTAGGGATCTAAGAGTTTAAGATTTCCCGTGTGAATAGGGAGAGATTTTCTCTGACAAGAGGAAATGATTTCCTCCTAGCTCCCAGTACTTTCAAGAGAAAACATGATGGCAGAAAGGATGGGAAGAACAGATCTGGGCAATCCCAACCTCAGCAACGGCCTGATCTGCAGACTCCATCTTTTCATAGGTGACGAAGGCACAGCTGGGATGAGAGAAAACAGAGTCAGTACGGGGCTGTGGGCTCTTCCAGACCCAGCCGAGCCCAGTGCTAATGCACAGGTCACAGGAGACAGGCAGGCCCTCCCCCAGCCTCACCCCCTAGGTCCTCCCAGGATTACTGCCCCTGTGTCATCCTTACTTTCTGGGTGGGTCCATGGAGAGGTCAATGATGTTTCCAAAGGGAGAGAAGGCCCCACGTAGGAGAGTGGGTGTCATGTCTTCTCCGTACACATACAGAGTATTCCCCTTTCTAGGGGCCCGGCGTTCAGGGAATGAGTCCGACCCTAGGGGACCAGGAATCATAGTTACAAGAGATACCTCTTCTCACCCTTCACTTTGAAGAGTCCAGTTTACTTTGCCTAAACCGCATCTGAGGCTACCTTTCTCAACAGCCAAGACCACTCACTGCGGAAAGGGCCCTCTCGGTCTCGATCCCGATCCCTGTCTCGATCCCTGTCCCGATCTCGATCCCGGTCTCTGTCCCGGTCTCGGTCTCGGTCCCGGTCCCGATCTCTGTCCCGATCCCGTTCCCGATCCCGGTCTCGGTCTCTGTCCCGGTTTCGTTCCCGACTGCGGTCTCGGCTGCGGCTTCGGGGAGGGGAGGCTGAGGAGCGGGAACCAACACGTTCTTCATAGCCCCAGTCAAAGCTTCGAGGGGGGCCGTCACCAGTCCCTGGGCCCTCTGCTTCCTCCCCATCTGGCCCCAGTTCTCGAAGTCGATCACTGGAAGACACAAAGCTGGGAGAGGCGGATAATGAAGATGAAAGGGGGCCTTTACCTCATCTTCCCAGGCCCTGTGGAGACTCAACACTCCTGCAGTGCAGCTCCTTCCACTCCAGCCCCAAACCTCCCCAGTGCCCAGGTAATCAAACCCTCCCATCTCCCAGCCCTGGGAAACGGTCCCATTTCTAACCCTCTAACCTCTCATACAGAGACTTCCTCTGGGGACGTCTGGATGACTGAAAGAGAGACCATGGACAGTTAAGATGATTCCTAATTGCTGGCATGTGGCCCAAAATATATGGGTCTCTCATGTTTCTCAATCCCCAGCCCCTCAGGGACAGAGAATTGGGAACCATTACCTCCTGCAGATCATCGTCGGCAGATATGCTCCTTTGGAATGGCTGGAAAGTGGGGACTGGGCCCTTCTCAGGGTCCTGGGAAGGTGAAAGAGAGACTACCTCAATGTGGCTGTGGGACAGAGGGGATTCTCCTCCCTCAGCCTCACCCTAGTTTCCTCTAGCCCTTTCTACGTTTCTTATTGGATTATGGGGCATTTTGAAAATAAAAAATAGACCCAACATTTTTTTGAACTGCAACATTTCCAGCCTATTCAATTCCTTAAAATAACACACACCAGGAACTCCAATACATTGTGGATTAGAGCCACAGAATTTAGGAGTCACCCAGCAGTTTCATTTTACAGATAAGAAATCTGAAGCACAGAACAGTAGGGCAATTTGCCCACAATTGAACATGCATTAGTTTTCTCCTCAACCTACCTCAATTCCAACTTGGATGGATGCCCTCAGAAGTCAAGGGTTTCCTGAACAAGCTTCTTCTTGTGCTTACCTTTAACTTCCCCTCTAAGGTTCGAGAACGTTTGAAGCCTGAGTTCTTGGTCTCGGCCTTGATGGCACTGATGGCTCCTGACTTGACCAGCTGCTTTGCTTGCTCTGTGGCTGTGGCTGTGTCCACCACAGGCTGCTCTGATAGTGCTGAGGTTGTGAGGGAAAAAGGCATTATGTTGAACAAGCTGTGACAGAGGTAAACCCTGTGCTGCCCACTTCCGGTCTATCCCTGTCACTCACAGCGCTTGACACCGCCCTGGCTGGCTGTGCTGCTGCTACTTTGTTTCTTCAGAGCCAGCAACGCTTTTTTCTGGGAACAAAAGTAAGAAGAAATGGGTGAGACTCAGTCTTTGTTCAGTTTTTCTCCCAAGGCCCATGGGTGCATCACTTCAGGGATCACCTTCCGTGGAGAAACAAAGCTAATAGCACCTCTGAAGTGGTACATTGAGGCAGCCCTGCCTCTCACAAATGGTCCCTAGATCACCTATAGTGCCAATGCTCCCCAATCTATCCAAACCACAGTATCCAGAGGCCTTCCAGAGTCTTATGTTTTTGAAGTTGAAGACAAGGAATTAAATCATGGATCACAGCCCTAGGATATAAGGTACAAGTAAGTATACGTGCCTTTCTTGAGACTTCATTCACGCATCCCCTGCATATTTAACAAGAACATGCTGTTACTGGTTAACAGAGACACACAAAGCCCTAAGATTCAGCCCTTCCCCTGAAGAAGCTTGATCTGAGAAATAAAATGACTAGACTGAATTGTCCACAGTGATTACAAAAGATGCAGATTGCTGGCAGCTGAGATCAAGGAAGATTTTCTGATGCCACATGGCTATTAAACTGGCCCCTGAATAGAATGAGCCCAACACTGATGGAGAGGAAAGGGCATTTAAAGAAAACAAGGGGGCAAAGTTGCAAAGATAAGAAGGCTTTGGGAATGCACGTTTGGGAATTAGTCAACAGTTCTATTTGACTAAAAAGTGAAGTCAACTTAATGCTTTCTTCAATCTACAATGTGAAAAAGTGGGACAGAGTTTTGTGTTCGCAATGGATGAATTTAATAGGAGTGAAATCTGTTCCAAAAACACTGAGAAAATTGTTGAGAGTCCATTATAAAGGTCTAGGTGAGCATCAACAAAGACTTGTTATATAGAATACAGAGGAAAAAAAAAAAACGAACAGGAGAAATTATTTCAAAGGAAGAATCAAGACTAGGCAAATGTTTGTCTATGCATATTGTGGGCTCAAAGATGAGATTTTGATACCAAACGTGGGAGAAATGAATGTGGTCGCTTCTATTTGTAAAATCAAGAAAAAGACTAGATTATAATATATGAGAAAACAATAACTTCAATTTTAAGGTTATCTGGTTTTAAGGTTTTCAGGAAGACAATGGATGGAACTTGAAAAGCCAACTTGGGGATTAGCAGCTCTCAGGTGGTACTAAAAGCCATGGGAAAAGAAGACAACTCCATGGTGGACTGCACAGAAGAGAAGATGCACACCAAGATTTGGGAAACCCACATCTCTAAAGCTACTCTGAGAGGTGATAAGTTGCCAGTATGAGCAAGAAGAATCCCTCCACCCCCTGCACACTCACCCCAGGTGTTCTCAGTGCAGTCTGTGAAAAGTTGGGCCATGCCCACAAATGCTCCCTCACCTTTTTCTTGAGTTTGTTGAATTTCTTCTGTAGAGCCTCTTCCTCCTCGCTCAGTCCGGGGGGTATCACCAACATGGTGGCTCCTGGTTCAAGGGCAGAGCCCAAGACATCTTTCTCCACTGTCACCACCCAGGGTTCACAAACCGTCTACACTATGCCCCACCCCACCCCTCCAGGTCTGCCTACTCTTGTCTTTTGCCTCTCCCTACCCCTTGCTTAAGCCAGGCTGCCATCCAAGCCCCTACTCGCAGGGATCAAGCAGCATCCCCTCCTCTCTCTAGAAATCATGGACACCAGCAAGATGGGTCACCATATGGCCCGGGAAGGGAGAAAAACGTCCTCCATCGCCAAGACCAAGGTACCAGACCCCCCTACCCCTCTGGGGTTAGTAAGGCAGCCGCGGGGTCCGAAAGGCAGAGGAGGCAGCGCAACCCGCGTAGCGCTCTCAGAGGACCGAGAAGGGGAAGAAGAGAAAGAGTTCGTAAAAACGGGGCAAAGTGTGAAAAGGAGAAGGCTTTACCTGAAGGGG